ACACGGGCATAGCTATTTCCTCGTAAGCATTACGAGGACTTTAAGAGGAATGTGTTTACGAGGATCTTACGAGGAAAAGGTACTTTTCCTCGTAAAGTCCTAGTAATGAGCTTTGTTACTAGGAAATTAAGAGGAACTAGATAGAAAATATCGAATTTAAATTTTTCCTATCAATTTCCTCGTAAATTCTCAGATTCCTATAAATACCACCATATGTGATTCATTTGAAACACACCAAACAAATAGAAAACACTCAATTCATAACTGAAAGGAGTTCACAGTCAACATAATAGTTTCTTATCAACTCTTCGAAGCTTTTCCTCGGGTAGATAGTTCGAGGAAAGCTATGTGGGGTTGATAAAAACCGTTACGATGACTGTATACTTCTTTTAGTTTTTTAATTAGGTTTAAGGTTTAAGTTTAGGGTTTTATTAAGTTTAAGGTTCAGTTTTATTGTTTAATTAGGTTTAAGGTTTAGGTTTAGGGTTTACAAACCCTTTCCTCGTAAAGCCCTAGTAATAGAAAACACGGGCATAGCTAGTTCCTCATAAGCATTACGAGGACTTTACGAGGAAAAAAACACGGGCATAGTTATTTCCTCGTAAGCATTACGAGGACTTTACGAGGAAAAAACGCGGGCATAGCTGTTTCCTCGTAAATCCCTAGTAATATTACTAGGGCTTTACGAGGAAACAAAATTTCTTATATATACATGAGCAATCCGACTGCTCAGTCATAGTAACTTCCTCTCTACTTTCTCTTAAGGTACTCTCTAGTTCCTAGTTAGGTGATTAGATTAGGTGGTTAGTTTAGGGAATTTAGATTAGGTGGTTAGTTTAGGTAATTTAGATTAGGTGGTTCGATTATGAATTTTTAATTACGTTTGTTTAACTGTTTCTGTTTTCTGTTTTTTTTTTTAAATTTAGATGGTTAAAAAGAGCAAAGTTGATGATGCTCAGTCCAAGAGGCATGTAGATCAGGGGATTCATTATGCGGATATATTCGGGTCCGGGTCCTCTTCATCAGCAGCCGGTGGTTCAGCTTCAGGAGTTCCCGAGACCCAGGGCGGTTTTACGGTATCCCGGTCTCAGCAGCCACCTCCTCAGCCTCCTCCTCAGCAGCCACCTCCTCAGCCACCGGTCGGGATTCATCCTGACTTGCAGGTATCTCCCAACGCACCATTTGCGGTGTACACGGTGGAGGATATCTTGGCCCTTCCAGGCAGAGAAGGGCTACCAGAGTTAGATCCTTTCCGGCGGGACGGCCAAAACGTATTATGGTATGTTTTAATTTTTAAATTTTTTTATTAAATAATTTTTAAAAAGTGTTATAGTATGTATATATATATATATGTTCTTATTAATGATTTATTTTCTGTCTTTCGAGGTTTGGTCTTGACAATGCTGTCGGATCTAGCGTCAAGGACTGTATCAAAGGATACTTTCCCGATGCAGCTCCAAACTGGAAGCTGACGGCGAGCCACACCAAAAAGACGTGGTTCAAATCGTTCGCTGTAAGTAATTTAGTAAATCAATTTAATTTATTTATAATCATTTAAAATTATGAATTTTATTGAACTAATCCGTCTTTTATTTTTTCTGGTTGCAGCAAAAATACTGTTGGTCTATTGGGAT